TGCAACCCTTATTTGAAACACTCTGCTGAACAAAATGCCCTGAGATATCTTCTCACTGCTGCTTCTCAACATCAAACGGTAGATCCTCAGAAAACAGGCATCAGAGACCTGCAAGACAACACAAGGTGGTCAGTGAGGAATTCTATGGTAGCTATGACTCAGCCACCCTCTAGGCCCACATATTTTCTACACAAAAACCTCATAGAAAAGAGGAACTGTAACCTTTTATAATTGTTCCACCTAACTCTAACTATGTGCCAGGGCAGGGCAGCTCCAAACCAATGCAGTTAAGCTGAGTTACAGAGGCAGGCACAGTGCAGTTAAGCTGAGTTACAGAGGCAGGCACAGTGCAGTTAAGCTGAGTTACAGAGGCAGGCACAGTGCAGTTAAGCTACAGAGGCAGGCACAATGCAGATAAGTTACAGAGGCAGGCACAATGCAGATAAGTTACAGAGGCAGGCACAATGCAGTTAAGCTAAGTTACAGAGGCAGGCACAATGCAGTTCAGCTAAGTTACAGAGGCAGGCACAATGCAGTTCAGCTAAGTCACAGAGGCAGGCACAATGCAGTTAAGCTAAGTTACAGAGGCAGGCACAATGCAGTTAAGTTACAGAGGCAGGCACAATGCAGTTAAAGTTAAGTTAAGTTACAGAGGCAGGCACAGTGCAGTCAAGTTAAGTTACAGAGGCAGGCACAATGCAGTTCAGCTAAGTTACAGAGGCAGGCACAATGCAGTTCAGCTAAGTTACAGAGGCAGGCACAATGCAGTTAGTTTTACAGAGGCAGGCACAATGCAGTTAGTTTTACAGAGGCAGGCACAATGCAGTTAGTTTTACAGAGGCAGGCACAATGCAGTTAGTTTTACAGAGGCAGGCACGGTACAAGGCAGTCGCAGGCGATGTCTGCCGGGTGAACGTGGCGATAGCTGCGGATGCGAAGGCCGGTTCCTCGGACGAAAAAATCCACGACGACGTCGAGAGGCTGAGATGCCCGATGACGTGAAACGCGAGAGAACGAGAAGATGGATTGGAACTGCCCTGCCCGGCAAAAGCTCTGGGGAGCTTGCAAAGAAACCCTCTCCCTTGGCTTCAGAGGGGCCCATCCCACTACAGCCCTGTCCTCTAACTTAACTTCAAAATGCCAACTCACCTGCTCATCTCTGCTCCTTGCCGTGCTCGGGGCAACGCCAAATCCTGCAAAGACAGAAAAGAAAAAAGCACTGAGTTACTGTCACAATGCACAAGGTGGAATTCCCAATGTGGTTCCTTTATTCCATCTTGGACTACAAAAGCTTGTCAGCCAACCAGGGACTGAAACAGAAGAAAAACCACTCAGTCCCACCTCGCGTACCCAAAGATCCCCTGTAAAGTTCTGAAGACAGAGCCCTCAAACGAGTGTGGGGTGCTTTGCCCTGAGGCATGTGCTGTTTTTAAGAAATTCGAGTCACCTCCCTTGCTTTCTAGACACTGCTCACCGGCGTGGCAGGCTAGGGGCGGCTGAGGCGAAACGTCTTTCCCCTGTTAATGACTGCACGATAAATCTGCAACCCCTTCTGTCTCTCAGAATCCTGTCCGTGACACCGATTCGTGTCAGGATCCACAAGGTGGGATTTGTGATGTGGTTCTTTCCTTCTATCTTAGAGAACTAAAGATTAGCAGCAAACCAGGGACTTTAAACAGAAAAACCTCTCAGTCCCACTTCTCGTACTCAAAGATCCCCTGTAAAGTTCTGAAGACAGAGCCCTCAAACGAGTGTGGGGTGCTTTGCCCTGAGGCATGTGCTGTTTTTAAGAAATTCGAGTCACCTCCCTTGCTTTCTAGACACTGCTCACCGGCGTGGCAGGCTAGGGGCGGCTGAGGCGAAACGTCTTTCCCCTGATAATGACTGCACGATAAAACTGCAACCCCTTCTGTCTCTCAGAATCCTGTCCGTGACACCAATGTGTGTCAGGATCCGCAAGGTGGGATTTGTGATGCGGTTCTTTCATTCTATCTTTGAGAACTAAAGACTAGCAGCAAACCAGGGACTTAAACACCTAAACACACACAGAGCTTGCACCCACCTGTCCTCCAGTATCCTTGGCTGGGATATCTTGCAAGTAGATCACCTAAAATAAAAAAAATCAAGGGATAAAAGTTATAGCAGAAACTGAGACCCCAGCAAGAACAACTGCTTCTCTCCACCAACTGAGGCTCACCTTCCACCTGCTTCGCCTTCCCTGCTGCTATCCGGCTATACTTCCTGAAAAAAAATACAAAGAGCAGAGCTGTAACACAGTGACCGGTTCCAGCCCCGCTGAAAAGTAAAACCGTGACCGACCTTCTCAGGGGGACCCCATCATCTGGGATGCGGCGCACTGCCAGAAGGTCAATCCCTCCGCATCTAAAAGAAAGTTAGGAAAAAAGTCAAAGTGCTGCAGGGTAACCTCACAGCTCCAAACACCTTCTGCCAACATAAGAATACCACCTAGACTCCAACTACAGCCCGTACTACAAGTCCCCGATTACAAGTGCCCGGGACTTGTCCTTAAACGCCTACAACCCGGCTGGGCGGCAGGGCAGAGCAGCTCCGGACCAAATACCCCCAGACACCCGTGACACGCGAGACGAGGGGACATGACAGGCAGAGAAAACTCACTGAGACAAGAAAGTCCTCAATGAGGACCGAGAGAATGCTGAACGTGATGACCGAGGAGGGACCCCAGGCGAGCCTGTCGGGCTCGGATGACCCTGGAGGAAAAAGATGCTAAAGGAACAACTTTTTCCAAGAACCGCAGAGACGGATGCCTGAGAATCCTGTGGCTGGAAGCCTCTGCCTGCCTTTGAATTGGCACAAGTCCTTATCCACTGTAAAGAAACACTGCTGCATATAGCTGTCGACACAGCTGAGAACGAGACCTAAAAAAACGTACGATCGCGTGCTTCTGAAGACAGATGCGATTCTGACGCGTGTCAGAGCTCCCGAATCAAAGTTGCGCCGGCGTCGGGCCGAGGAACGCAAAGATGGGAGATGAATGGAAGGACCTGGGGTTTCTCATAAGCCCTGGAGAGGGCTAAGGCAAGAGGCACATTACACGAGATGCACAGAAGACACAGAAGGCACAAGAGACAAGTGACAACACACCCTGGGACTGCTCTGCCCTGTTCGCCTCAGCATTGCAAACCAAAGTGAGGCTTTCCCTCACTGGGGCCTATGGGGTCATTTCCAGAACCTCCCCATCCCCAAAGCTCACTCAAAAACCCAAACCGATCTCAGTCCCGACCCGCCACCCCGCTTTGATCCCCTCTGCGGGCCCCACTTATCTCTCAGAGGGCTGAAGATGTGAGTCACAGAGAGAGGCCGGTCGGGGGCCAAACAAAGCCACCTCACCGTCTGGGAAGTTCTTCTCTCACCTGGCTGTTGTCTCAGACAAGTATCAGCACCTATGATAAAGAAAACCAAATATAAGAGCACAATCTTAGTGGCATATTCACCAAAACCCAACTCCTACTCACTCTCTCTTAGGAACGCCCGGGTCCTCGGGCACCACGCTTCGGCCATGCTCCGAGGCAGACCCCGTCGTCGCAGGGTTCGCCTAGGATAAACGGAGAGGAGCGATGTAGCATCGCTTAAAGTTGACCGCGCCCTCGCCGCTCCTTGCGACGTCCCCGACTCGCCGCGACTCCTCGGCCGCACCTAAAGGGTACCCGGACCGCACCGACACGTGGACGAGGTCGAGGCTTCGTCACGGACTCCGGTAATATTTGCTGGGGCTCACCAGAGAAGCAAACCGGGTCTCTCGGCAGGTCAGTGAGGGGGCTTCAGCACCGCATCAGGAGGCAGCCTAAAACACACAAACAAGCAGGGAGTTGCACCAGAAACTGAGACCCCAGCAAGAACAACTGCTTCTCTTCACCAACTGAGGCTCACCTTCCACCTGCTTCGCCTTCCCTGCTGCTTTCTGGCTTTACTTCCTAGAAATAAAGACAAAGAGTAGAGCTGTAACACAGTGACCGGTTCCAGCCCCGCTGAAAAGTAAAACCGTGACCGACCTTCTCAGGGGGATCCCCTCATCTGGGATGCGGCGCTCTGCCACGAGGTCAATCCCTCCGCATCTAAAAGAAAGTTAGGAAAAGAGTCAAAGTGCTGCAGGGTAACTTCACAGCTCCAAACACCTTCTGCCAACATAAGAATACCACCTAGACTCCAACTACAGCCCATATTACAAATCTCCAATTACAAGTGCCCGGGACTTGTCCTTAAACACCTACAACCAGGCTGGACGCCAGGGCAGAGCAGCTCCGGACCAAATACCCCCAGACACCCGTGACATGAGACGAGGGGACGTGACAGGGAGAGAAAACTCTCTGAGACAAGAAAGTCCTTACGAGGACCGAGAGAATGCTGAACGTGATGACCGAGGAGGGACCGAAGGCGAGCCTGTCAGGCTTGGAGGACCCTGGAGGAAAAAGATGCTAAAGGAACAACTTTTTCCAAGAACCGCAGAGACGGATGCCTGAGAATCCTATGGCTGGAAGCCTCTGCCTGCCTTTGAATTGACACAAGTCCTTATCCACTGTAAAGAAACACTGCTGCATATAGCTGTCGACACAGCTGATAACAAGACCTAAAAAAACATACTATCACATGCTTCTAAAGACAGATGCGATTCTGACGGGTGTCCGAGCTCCAGTATCGAAGTTTCGCCGGCATCGGGCCGAGGATCTCAAAGATGGGAGATGAATGGAAGGATCTTGGGTTTCTCATAAGCGCCTGGGAGGGCTAAGGCAAGAGACACATTGCACAAGATGCACAGAATATACAGAAAGAACGAGAGACAAGTGACAACCCCCCGGGACTGCTCTGCCCTGCCCACCTCAGCATTGTTAGCTAAAGTGAGCCTTTCCCTCACTGTGGCCCCAATGGCCATTTCTCAAACCTTCCCCTCCCCATAGCTGACTCAAAACCCCTAAATGGTGTGAATCCTACCCCACCGCCCTGCTTTGATCCCCTCTGTGACCACGGCCCTGGACTTATCTCTCCGAAGCGAATCTGTGCGAGAGGCCGATCCGCTGCTAAGGAAAGCTGCTGTGGGGGCGGTTCCCTTTTGTGTTACGATGAATCTGCTGAGAAAATCTGAAGTATCGCACTTGACGTGGCCTAGAACTTCTGGAAATTGCAATCCTCCTAAAAAAAAAAAAGCCAAGAAGAAGAGTCATGATAAAAGCATCTTATTTCCCCTGAACCCCCAACCCAAAATCATGAGCTTAAATACTCCCTGTGTTCAATATTGTTTTCTTCAAGGTGTTTTCCAATATTGTTTTCTTCAAGGTGTTTTCAAAGCTTTGGCTGCTGCAAATGCCCAAAAGATGCCTGCTCTTAGCAGGCTAAAGTAAATTGAAAGAGCTGCTTCACTGAAATGAGAGAGGAGCTCTTTACCCCCACTGATTCCCCTGGAGGGAATAATGCCCCTTAGCACAGCCTGGGGTTAATATACCCCT